TAAAGTCTGTTTCCCCTGTGAAGCCTGTAATGACACACACCTCAGAGGTTATAGTCTTGGGTATGTGCACCTTTACCTGAGATGACTAGCTGGGCTTTGACTGTTTCTTTACCTAATTTTTCTCTTGTCTGCCTCATTGGGTATCACATCTAGCTTTTAGTTGCTTCATAGTCTTGTCCAGTTAATTTAAGGCAGGTATATTTGTTGAGACTAGTTATTGGGAGTAGTTGGTAGCCTCTGATCTCTGCTTGCCTCTCTAAGCATGAGACTTGCACCCTACCTTCAGGCTTAAAACAGGATAGGATGATCAGGGCCTGTTGTACCAGGATAGAGTCTCTGGGTAGGGGCTGGGTTGGGGGAAGAAGTCCCTAAACTCTTGGATACACTGATCAGATATTTAGCCTATTCAACTTGAAGGGGATAAGAAATGCTGAAGAACTGCTCTTCCTGGTGATGGAGAGCTAAAGGGAGAGGGGATGGCACAAAAACAGACACATAGACCAATGGAATAGAATAGAAACCCCAGAACTAGACCCACAAACGTATGGCCAACTAATCTTTGACAAAGCGGGAAAGAACATCCAATGGAAAAAAAGTCCTTTAACAAAATAGTGCTGGGAGAACTGGACAGCAACATGCAGAAGGTCTGAAACTAGACCACTTTCTCACACCATTCACAAAAATAAACTCAAAATGGATAAAGGACCTGAATGTGAGACAGGAAACCATCAAAACCTTAGAGGAGAAAGCAGGAAAAGACGCTTCTCTGACCTCAGCGAAGTATCTCTTCTACCTGACACATCCCCAAAGGCAAGGGAATTAAGCAAAAGTGAATTACTGCTTATGAAGATAAAAGCTCTGCACAGCAAAGGAAACAACCAACAAAACTAAAAGGGCAAACTTCAACGGAATGGGAAAAGATATTGCAAATGACATATGGACAAAGGGCTTAGTATCCAAAATCTATAAAGAGCTCACCAAACTTCACATCTATAAAAAGCAAATAACCCAGTGAAGAAATGGCAAAACATGAATAGACACTTCTCTAAGAAGACATCCGGATGGGCCAACAGGCACATGAAAAGATTAAACTCAGCTGCGCCTCCTTATCAGGGAAAAATTCAAAACCACACCATGGTAATCACTCACCCAGTCAGAGTGGCAAAAATGAACAAATCAGAGACTCATAGATGCTGGAGAGGAGTGGAGAAATGGGAACCCTTGCACTGTTGGTGGGAATGCACCAATCGGTGCACCGCCTGGAAAGCAGTGTGGAGGTTCCTCAGAAAATTAAAGATACTCTATGACCCAGCATAGCACTGCTAGGAATTTATCCAAGACACAGGAGTACTGATGCATAGCACTTTGTACCCCCTAATGTTCATAGCAGACTCTCAACAATAGCTAAATATGGAAAGAGCCTAAATGTCCATCACTGATGAATGGATAAAGAAATTGTAGGTTTATATACATCTATGGAATACATACGTGGCAAATGAGGAAAGAAAATGGCCTTTTGTAGCAACGGGATGGAACTGAGAGTGTGATGCTATGAAATAAGCCATACAGAGAAAGACAGATACCATATGGTTTCACTCTTATGTGGATCATGAGAAACTTAACAGGAACCCATGGGGGAGGGGACCAAAAAAAAAAAAAAGAGGTTAGAGTGGGAGAGAGCCAAAGCATAAGAGACTGTTGAGACGAAGCACGAGGGTTATGGGGGTGGGAGGAGGAGAGGGTGGGTGATGGGTATTGAGGAGGGCCCCTTTTGGGATGAGCACTGGGTGTTGTATGGAAACCAATTTGACAATAAATTTCATATAAAAAAAAAAAAAACTAAAGGGAGAGGGGACCTCATTTTCTTGGTTACCAGCCTGGAGTGGAGCTTCTGTGAAGCTGAATTGCAGTGAGGGAGAGAACAAATAGGTCTTAGCTCATGTGCTAAGGGCTTACACTGTTCTCACTGTGATTTAGTAGATTTTTCTTGAGTACACGTTTCTTTATTTGCTATATGCTTTTAGGGCAATTTCAGAGACTTGAAAAACAATTTTAATACTTTATTTGGCAGTTATTGTTGTTTCAGTGGGAAACTGGTCCACAGGGTTCCTCACACCAGCATTCTGGAAGTGGACTTCATGAACTTTCATTCTTTAAATTCAGCATGCAGGGGTGCCTGGCTGGCTTAGTTGGTAGAGCATATGACTCTTGATTGTCATGAGTCAAGCCCCACATTGGGCATGGAGCCTACTTAAAATAAAAACTAAAACAATTTTTTTCTTAAATATAGCATGTATTTGGGGGGTACTGGGGCATTCTTTTAAGTAGACACAGTGTGATTAACACATTCAGGAAATTCAACATGGATTTTGCACTAATATCTGGTAACTAGTCTACAGTGCTTCCTAGGAGGGGCTTTCTTGGGCTCAGCTGTACGGTCCACATTTGCCTCAGACACACTCAGGGACACAGAACAGGAGCCATAGCTAGTGCTGTGCCCTCTCCTGCTGAAGGTTGGCAGCAGAGGCAAAGCATGGCTCAGGGGCCTGGAGGCAGAGCTGCAGTAGGCAATGCCACAGCAGCCCTGCCGTATGAGCCTTGTGCCCCCTAGGGTAAAGTCACAGAGGCAGAGCTCCCAAGGCCCACAGGAGACATACTTGTTCCCAGAGGCATTGCACTCGGGAGTCCAAGTAATAGGATCTCTACCAGGTGTTCACCGACCTCCAGTCAGGTGCTATTTGTCCATCAGAGGTCATTTCTAAGTGTTATCCTCCGGCCACATGGCTGTCAGCTTCCTAGAACCAGAAAGTGAACCTTGAGTCACATTCTCATGTAGAAAGAAAATGGGTTTTATAAGTCTTTTCTTGACAACGGTCCATATTTAGATTTTGCCAATTGCCCTAATACTGTCCTTTATAGCAACGTTTTTTTTTTTTTTTCATTTAGCATCTTATGTGTTGAGTTACCATGTCTTAGTTTTCTTTTATCTGCAACAGTTCTTTAGCCTTTCTTTGTCTTTAGAACCTTGTCTTTTAAAACATTTTTTTAATGCTTATTTATTTTTTGAGAGAGACAGAGCACAAGCAGGGGAGAGGCAAGAAAGAGGGAGACACAGAATCTGAAGCAGGCTGTCAGCCTGAGCTGTCAGCACAGAGCCCGACGTGGGGCTTGAACTCACTAACTGTGAGATCATGACCTGAGCCAAAGTCGGACTCTTAACTGAGCCAACCAGGTGCCCCAGGACCTTGCCTTTTTTAGAGTGCAAACCAGCAAATTCATAGTCTATTTCACAGTTTCCTCATATTTAAATTCAAGTGATGCACTTTGGCGGGAATACCAGATATAATGTTGTATCCTTCTCAGTGCATCCGCTCAGGAAGCATGTAATATTGATTTGTCCCATTGCTGATGATAACTTGAGCCACTTGGTTAGGTGATGTCTGTCAGGGTCTATAGAGTACTGTAAAGGTAAGCTTTTCTCTTAATAATTAATGAAAAACTGATGGAAGTGATTAAGGGAGACTATGTGGCAATGTTATATTCCTCAACAAACTTTTATCCACTTGCTTTAGTATCCATTAATGATTCTTGCTAAATTGGTTTTTATTGTGATGTTGCCAAATGATGATATTTTAACTCATCCATTCTTCCTACTCTGTCATTACTTATTAGCCCCATTTCACTGTTTTCAAGTACATATTGTAATACCTGTAATTCTGTTCCTCCATGAATCACTGACTTCCTGTGTTCATTATACTAAATTATTAAGAATTAGAACGTCCAGTTAGAATTAGGTACTTTATTTTTTAAAAAGTAATTTCCCTATAAAGGTAACTACAGAGTTACTTTTAAATGAGTATAGCTGATAACATGTTACATTCGTTTCAGATGTGCAACTTAGTGATTTGACAAGTTTATACATTATGCTGTGTTCACTGTAAGTATAGCTACCATCTGTCCCATTACATCCCTATTGTAACATCATTTACTACTGAATGAGAGAATATATTTGCAAATGATATATCTGATAAGGGTTAATACCCAAAATATTAAGATATAAGTTATCTTTATAGAACTTACACAACTCAACACCAAAAAAAACCCCAACATAGTTAAAAAATGGACACAAGATCTGAATAGACATTTTTCCTAAGAAGACATACAAGTGGCCAACAGACACATGGAAAGATGCTCAACATCACTCATCAGGGAAATGCAAATCAAAACCACAATAAGATATTATCTCACACCTATTAGAATGGCTAAACTCTAGAATTAGGTACTTTAACCTGAAGTGAAGAAACCTGTCAGACAAACATTTTGACATATCTGAAGTGGGACAAATCTGTGTCTCAACGGTTGGGAGACCATCTTGCTGCAGGTTCCTCATACAGGAAGGAGGGACCCATGTGATGGAGAGGCCTGGACACCTGCTCATGGTTCTGTCTGACTATACATGGGGTATATGAGGGTAACCTAAGAGAGTACAAGAAACTGTGTAAAATGTCAAATCACTGAGTGAGAGAAAAGGTCTGCTGCCCAAATGGTTGAAAAGAGAGCCATATGAGAAAGGTAAATTTTGAAAATTGACTAACCTGTTTAAGCACCAAGTCATTGAAGCCTATACTAATAAAATTATCATATAAATGGCTTACAGTAAATGCATGAGAGAACTGGACTTCAACATAAAACTTCATGCCAAAGAATATTTGTGACTCTGGGTCACATGATGAGCTCAAAAATGTTTCTTTAATAAAGGCTTGACTTGTTTGGGTCAGCTTGTGTTCATTGCAAAAAAATACCTGTATTTACCACTTTTAGTGGTTTTTCATGCTGCTATTTATAGACTAACTTAAAGATTCTTAAAATGGTGACTAAGCAGTATGGCATTCAATATTCTTTTCAATTTTATTTTCAAGTAAAAGTTCCTTTTTAAAGTATATAGTTTGTAAACCTCTTGCTTTGTACTTTTCTGACCTTTTTATCTCACTCTTTCATAGGTACTTCCTATTTAACAGACATTGTGTGGTGGGCAGGCACAATTGCAAGTAAGTACCCAGTGTGGTGAACAGTTTGATGTGCTTTCTTTCTTAAGATCAGTCATTCCTCTAGCAGGACTGCAGAGGTTGGAATGAGTGTGGCTGCATTCTTTGGACTGTGGACCAGGGTGGGAGTCACGGTTGGGAGGAGGTAGAGGGTCCTACTTCCTGCAATAAGCCCTGAATTTAGTCCAGGTCAGACTGTCCTGGTTCCAAAGAAATTAAAATAGCTCCTGCTTACTCATCTGTAGTCAGGCTGTTGGCACTTGGTGAAATTTCTTGTTTTGTCGAACGTAATTGGTTTTACAAAGGAGAGTTTCTTCAATCAGACTGATAAAAGAGGTCGCATGCAGAGGTTATGTGCTATCATATAAAAATTAATAGGATTAGAGTTCAGAACCCTAAATATATAAAGAAAAATTGTACTATAAAATTCAACAATATTATGAGGTTTATTTGTCACACATTGCCTTTCGGGCAAGATGTTACCTAGCAGATATTATTTCCTTTTATTGAGGAGCTCATCTTTAAGCTCTCTTAGTATAGCCCTGAATGCAGTCCTATGCAGGCAGTTGTGTTTCTACCTGGTATATCAGCAGCGTGTCACTGTGGCCCAGTGGTCTATACTGGAGTTAAGTCCCAGGCCATTGAAGGGGCTCAAGAAATTCTACGCGATTAGTTGTAAAACAAGGATGTGTTAAGGGGAAAGTGGAAATATACTCTGTTGCGCCTACTGTCAATCATTGCCATTTAGTTTGGGAAATTCTACAGAGGAAACTAGTCTTCCAGTTTGGGTCAGTGACACTCTGACTGCTCTCCCCTGCCTTCAGGACCCTTAATTATGCAATAATGCTCCACATTTGCTTCCTTACAAGTAATAGAGAAGAAATAGCCCTTTCAGAACAGCTCCTTGCCCAATTAAACTCTGATCATTGCTGAAAGAGAGCTGTAATTGCAAGTGGTATCCTTGTGATTCTCTTGACAGTGGCTGTTGGCCAGATTGGAAACTTCCTGGCTTACACGGCGGTCCCCACAGTCCTGGTGACTCCACTGGGTGCCCTTGGAGTGCCGTTTGGGTGAGAGCTGGGAGTCTGTGTTTTTGTTTTTAACATGTAGTTAAAAAAAAAACTTTCCATTTTAATTGTCTCTATAATAGTAAAAGCAAAATTGTAACTAATTGTAACTTCAGTATTCTACTCTGTATGGTTTAATTTTATCCTTTCAATTTTGTTTTGTGAATTATTAACCTTTCTCATAGAAATTTGCTTTGGTATATTTCAGACCCTAACTTATGTGTGGACATCAGTAAGTATGATCCTATCATTCTTCTGGTCTTTGCCCTGGAAGACTTAGAGACTAGAGTCTTCCTGCTGCCTTGACAAGTGATTCTGAGAAATCATTAAGCAAAACTAGTCAGTTACTGTTTTATCTGGGTAGCTAGAATCCTCTACCAGACACTGGACAATTCTCCCACTCCACCCTGGAGTTGGGACAAATGACACATGGGCACCAATGGGTGTAAAATAGAGTTCATGACTCATAACAATCTATAGCACATGGATCCCCACACCTAGGAGAAGGGTTTCTCTTTGGTCCAGAGGGAAATGAGGGAGGTGGGACTTTGGGTTTTTATTGTTAGAAAGTGAGTGGGATGGAGGTTCCCACACTCAGGTGGGGCTTGTGTGGTTTGAAATTTCTGCCAGTGCCAGGGACTGAGGACACCAAAGGTCTAAGGGTATGAGCAGGCTTTCTTAATCAGGTTGCCCAGATGTGGGGCAAAGGGAAAAAGGTAGGACTGGGGGCTCGAAGGCTGCCAGCCAGCATGCATTACAAGTAGAGTCTTTTTATTACATTTGGCATACCTAAAAAATGATTTTATGAAACATTTATTAAATAGCTTAATACATATCCTCCTGTGAACCTATTTATATTCTGTTTTACCTTTGGAGAAGTTATTAATAAACAGATATAATAGAAGAGAAATAAAATCCAAGTTTCTAACTCATTTATTTATTGGTATTCTGCTGCATTCCAGACAGACTCTCAGAGAAGGGTGTCTTATGATTACATTTAAATTGTACTTTAAAGTTAATTAGGCTTTAAAATTCTGTAGGCTGAAAGCACAAACGTGTTTTCTAGAGGTTAACTTTGGAAATGTGTTTGTAGGATGCTGCTCTTATCCCAAAAGGCTAATATCGCATGTGGCTTGATGTTGCTTTGTGTCTGGATGGCCCTTAAGAGCTTGGATTGCATGAGTGGTGCTCACTTTGGGGAATCACTGCTCCAACTTCCTAGAGCCCAACCTCACTCTGATTTGTTCTCCTGAAAAAAAAAAATCAGGCAAATAATCTGACCCTGGAATCTTTGCACATTGCACATTTAATATGCATATATTAAAATACCTTGCTTAGTTAAGACCCAAAGAACTGTTTCTGTGGACTTTAGCAGTTATTAAGTCACCTCACCAGAAATGTTCACTTCTCCAAATATTCAGGAGATAGACTAGAAATAGAATACAGAGCCCCAATATAGGTCCACTTTTCTCTGTAATGACTCAGTGTATGATAATCATAACAACATAGTACTTTTAAAAGAAGTTTAGGGTGCCTGGGGCTCTCAGTCAGTTAAGAGTTCAACTTGGGCTCAGGTCATGATCTCACAGCTTGTGAGTTCAAGCTCTGTGTCGGGCTCTGTGCTGACAGCTCAGAGCCTGGAGCCTGCTTCAGATTCTCTGTCTCCCTCTCTCTGTGCCCCTCCCCGACTCACATGCGCGCGTGCTCGCTCTCTCTCTCTCTCTCTCTCTCAAAATAAATAAACATTAA